AAATGATTACGCTATAAAAAATGCGAAAAACAAAGAAATGAGCTTGCAGCATGTCGATCAAGTCTTACACTACCTCAGTTTTCGGTCGGCAAGTACAGGCAGACGGGCCGCGAGCATAAACCAGGACTGATCCTGCTGCCAGGCTCTCCCTGCAACAATTACAAAGGTTCATTTTCTGATACTTCAAAGTCAGAAATTCATTCCATACTCTACTCTGTAAAATATGGAGGCACTTGTAAATAGTCCAAATGGTAGCAGTCCTCCGCGGCCTACGGCTATTGATGGGTTCCACTTTCGATAATCGTTCAGAAGAAAGTTTGGCCAGTGTGATTAGGTAGTAATTGTTATTAATTCCAGCTTTCTTTTTATCGTTCTTCTGGATAAAAGTTTCTGACGTACTGTATTCATTTCATTGATTGTATTCATTTCATTGGATTTTTTTATGAATTAATGTTTTTTCCAAGGTTATTGCGATATATTCCGAAAATGTCGAAGCGTTGATGCGGATGGGCCACTGGCACGTCTAAAAAATGTTATTTTCAATCCAAAGACATTGCATGAAGTGAAGTACTGGATTCAAGTAAGATTTTCACTTCAAAAACAATGCTTTCTTTCATTTTTCTTAAATTGGTAGGCTAGCGGCTTTTCCCTGTCCTTGGGTATGTTCCTTTCGATGCTTTGTCTTTCCGTATGGAACTTCAGGTTTAATGTGTTTTCAGGTGAATTGGTGGGCAGTTGTTCTTGGCGGATTGGGTCTGCTTGTGTTCATGACGCTTTTCATCAAAATATGTGCTGTTCACACACCCAGTACCAATCCAAACAAAGCACCTGCCTTAAATATTTATGACACGTTGCGAAGGCCGAAAAATCTTATACAGCGAAAACATGGTCGTGCAGCACATCAGGTCTGCCTTTGCCGCCCTTGCCTTACTGCATTCATAAATATTAGCTTTTTTGCGAATTCTTTTTGCTTTTTTTTTGGGCCTTTAGTGCAGTTACCGCATATTGAGCGTTTTTCCGGTGTACCATGTTTTCTCAATTAAAAAAGATAATTAGTCTGGTAGAACAGCGATTCTGTAGCAGCAGTTTAGATGCGAAAATCAGTACAGAGGCGAGTTACATCTGCATACTAATCTTGCTGTAAATTGGATATGGGGATCACTCGAATTTTCCCGTAACAAGTGCTGACGAAGCAAGAGGGTGGCACTGCTTTTTGGGTGTGCTGCTTTTTTGGGACTTTGAATTACCGCTAACCGGTGTCGTCTATAATCCAGTATTTTTAAGACCATAACTAGCTACATGCATATTGTAATGCTTTTGTCTCGCTATAAAAACGCCGATTTTATCCATTGAAAAGTGCTTTCCGTGGATACGTCAAGTAGAGTGCCTAGGAGCAGACTACCTGCGATAGAACTTTTGACTCGTTGCTAGCAGATGAGAGGCGGAGAACTTCCTTACTCACCTTATGAGGTAAATTTATTACGTTCTTTTAAAGGTTAGCGCAACTCCCGCACGACGACATGGCGCGGGACGCTCGGAAAACGATGATCGAGGGAATAGTCGTGCGGCATTCCGACCAGTAGCTTCAGCA